ATACTCTTCGACGATGGGCATAATAATCTCAGAGTTGAAGAAGGACATCCATTTGACTATGTCAGCGTACTCCTTCTTAGAATTTCCGAGCAGAGTGGTCTCTTCGTTCTGAGAGGTGACTAAAATGACATTAGCTTTGGTCTAATGGACTAATGTATCAACAATGAGGCAAGAGCCAGGCGGAGCGTTGGGAGGCAGGGCACATCTATAGATGATACATATATTTATATCGGACCATCCGCATAATCCGAGATATCGCAGACATCTTGCTTAAGGGGTATTCAAGGACAATGAGTCCTGAAGGGGTTGGACGCACTGTATATGGCAATAGCAATGCACTCAAAGAGCTTGAAGCCGTCTTCTCCAATGAAAGCAGGAACTTTGCCTAGCTTGCTAACCTTGAGGTGCTCAGCAGTCCGAGGTTCTTCGCAAATTTTGAGTTCGAGATTATTCGCTTTTGCGACCGCCTTGATCGCGATGGTACGGGGATGGTCACCCTGAAGTGGAATTATTACACCAGTGAAATCGAATGAGTGGAGGGGTTTAATAGCGTACATACAGGAAAAGTGTATAGAGTGCCGAAAACCATTTTGACTGATTCTCAGCCGATCACTGAACCGGCTTTGATGTTTGATGGGCGGTGTAGGTGTGATGGATCGCCTGCAAAGGTTATCGCCAAGAGAGCCTGTATTTGGCACAACGTCGCGATGCGATAGCCCAAGGGTAAAAAGAAATTCTATTCGACTACAAGAGAAATGGAGTCCAGTGAGACCCTTGTCATCCCTAGGCCAGCTCCCTTCTTGCCGGGCATCTGGTATTCGGAACAAACATAGTATTTGGTTCAATTCGGAGACTTCAACCAAATTAGGCTAGCTCCCTGGAGAACTACTAGCTTCCGAGACCGAATAGGGTAACAGGTACCGGCATGGGCCGATGGCAATCAAGAGGTCGCCATGCCGAGAGCGAGACTCGTACCGTTCGGACTCTGGACTCTGGAAATGAGAATGAAGCCGCGAACAATCCATACTCAGGCCCTCCGTAGTATGATTTAACATGTTTGAATGAGCGATACATATGTAAATTTACAAACACCGAGTCACGCCTAAACTGGTTTACAGAGATCCTTAGTTATTCCACCTTGCAGACTATTGTGGTCGATTCTATTATGGGTAGCTATACAGCAAATTTAGTCGAGACCCTCGACGCAGTCGATGCATCGACTTTGGATGGAGATGATGCCTCGCGGCTACAATTGGCCATGGCTGCCCGCAAGCTTTTTCATAAACTAGAGACGAAGGAAGAGAAGACTATACGACTCGCCATCGAAGAACCTGTTGTGTTCTCTGCTATCCAGGCTCTCATTGACGTTGGTCTCTGGGAAGACTGGACTGGTGTTGGTGGAGGCGAGAAGACTATCGAGGACCTTGCCACAATAACCAAGAAGGATATTGATCCGGAATTACTGCGTAGGTGTTCTAATGTACGGCAAGTATGTTCAGTTACGAGCTCCTGACACAACTCTCAGGCCACCTCCTACGACTCCTAGCTACGAACCACGTTGTCCTGGAAGCCGGGGAAGATCGCTACGCGCCGACCGCATTTTCGCTCTCCATGGGTGATAAGAGTACCCTCGTTGCGCCAGCTCTTCGCATACGGTACGCATGTCATCCTTTCTAAATTGTTTAAAGCCGAGTGAAGTGAATTGACCATGACGCTACAGAACCGACCACATCGCCCAGTGTGCCCATCACTTCCCCGAGTTCTTGGCTAATACCAACTACCGCAAGCCTCTAGACGACAATGCCAGCTGCTACATTGATACGTTTCCTGAGAAGAAAAACTTTTGGCAAAGATGCAAGGCAAATCCTATGCATCAAGAGAGCTTCTCTTCATTCATGCTGTTATGGGGCAAGCATAAAAGACCGTGGCCGCAGTTCTATGACACCAAAGCGCTGCTCGAGGGCGCTGACTTGAGCGATGGCAGCGCATTCATCGTAGATATTGGCGGACATCACGGTGTCGACCTCTTACGTGTGCTCGATAAGCATCCCGACGTCCCTGCAGGGTCCCTGGTGCTCGAGGACTTGCCAGAGGTCATCACTTCCGTGAGTCTTGCCACGGACAAGATTAAGGTTATAGAGCACAGCTTCTTTGAGCCGCAGCCGGTTAAAGGTTAGTTCTCTCTCGCCTTCAACTCCCATGTTAAAACTTTATTTTTCAGCGACCTGACAATTGAGGGAAATGTGAAGGCAGCCGGGCCTATTACCTGCATGCCGTCCTACACGACTGGTCCGACAAGGTGTCAATCGAAATCCTGAAGAACGTTGCGGCAGCCATGAAGCCCGGCTACTCTAAGGTGCTGATTCATGATATCGTCCTGCCAGCAACAGGAACTACCTGCTACCAAGCTGCGTTGGATTGCCTGGTCATGCAGGCCTCGGCCAACGAAAGAACCGAGGCTGTGTGGAATAAGGTGCTCGCGGAGGCGGGCCTTAAGCTACTCAAGTTATGGCCAGATGGCCGAGGGTATGAGAGCCTGATTGAAGCAGAGCTGGCATAGACTGAAGTCGTGGGAAACCCCTAGAAATAATAGAAGGCGCAACTCTCCAGTAAACAGATGGACTTGGTCGCGCTTGTTACAGTTGTTTCTGTTCATCAGGCTATTTCAATTTCTGGACAGCACACCCACGCACCTGCGCATGCAAAGGTACCTTCCTGGCGCCAGAATGCAAAGTTGAACTGTATGGGATCATGTGCACCCCCATATTACGATAGACGAACAGGCAGGGTCGATAATGGAGTGAACTGGTTCTAGATGTTGGTATCTGCGGTGGTCGAAAGCTGAGATTTACTGTCTACATTGTTGTTATTGCTGTGAATGTGTGACTGGTGAGTTGCGCGTTGTGCGGAAGTTGTCTGCGCTGAAGCTATACAAGGACATGGCCAGTGATTCAGTAGCCACGAGGCTCCGTTTGCCCATTCCGTCTTGTAAAGTCACGGCCTGTCATGTTCTCTTGTTTCATGTTAAGGCCAGTTATGTTGTAGGCGTTGTAGAGCTAGGTTGATAACTGAGCTACCTCACATTTACAGCTCGGGATTAGCCAACAAATAGCAACCTGTTCCCGGCCGGTACTTCGTTTCAACGAATAGTGAGGAATTTACTCACATTATCCAGACAAGGACAAAGTGCAACATGGGAGTGTTGAGAGTCTTTCTTTTTCTAAAACCATCCGTACAGCCCTCAGTGATTTGCCAATCCTCCTCATACAGAGGGTTGTGCTGACTTGCCGCAATCTGCTGTCTCAGCAAGAATAGCAAAGACGGTCAGGTGGCGACCATTCTATCATAACCTCCCAAATCGACAGATCTTACGAGACAACAGGAGCCACTCATCATTCTATTAATGAAAGTGGACGATGAAGATGCTTTCGAAAGCGGATAACGACTTTGAATCAGGAACCTAGTCAAATATCTTGTCATAGCCTTGTATTACAAAACACCTCAGACCACGCTGGCACCGGGTGGAAGACATTGGATGTTTTCAGCCTTATGCAAATTTGGCTACTCATTGTCGGGAAAGTCTCATCGAACATTTGTGGGATATGTATTGCAACCAGGGTCATTGTTGGGTGCCAGCGAAGACTTCACACTGCGTATCGAGACACTCTTCAGACGCTCTTCATATTTAGAACGTCAGCTCCTCATATTAATTATCTTTGCCAAGGACATAGCGAATCGTCTCCCCAATAGTATACTCCTCCGTAATCCCACTTGGACGCCAACCAAGCGCTCGCAACCGATCCGCCCGAGACCTTGAACTTGAACCCCAGAACTTTGGTCCCCCTGCCCAAATCTTCGCAACACCTCTCTCATCAAGACTGTCCACATCAGTATCAGAAACATACCCCTGCGAGTGAAGCTCCCGACCAACAACCTTGGCAAAGTTTGTGAACGAATCCTCTCCCGCTTCAACAAAGTAATATCCATTCCGACCCCAATCCACCCTACTTTCCGTGCTCAACGCCTCCTCCACTAACAAGAGCAACGCAGACGATGCGTCACTGACGTGGCAATGACTTGATACGTTTCTCCCGTCACCTACTACCAATACTTTCTCGTGGGACTGGGTTGCACAAATTGAACACGTGCTCAGGCAAGACTCCAGGTATAGCCGTTCTTTATATATATATAGTAGTTATTATTCGCTGTCTTCCTCTCACAAAACCAAGCACCTTTGAGACCCTACTCGATGGTCCTCGAATAGAATCCTTCCCAAGCCCTTGAGATCAAGCCCTTGTCACACTATGATACTGAATTTAAAGCAATTCACAATCCCTCATGAAGGCCTTCTCGCACTGGTATCAAGCCGAAAGTGGCATGTTCCCAAACGCGTCCTAGTGTTCTACCAGCCAGGCCGTCATGAACCAAAGTCGTCACTAGATAGACGAAAAAGGCTCAATAATACTACAGCCTCGGCAGGAAATTCGAATTTCTAATTTAACGCATAAAATATACATAAAAAGAGACCTTTACTTGAAGCAGTAGGTGCATAATATAGAATTTCTTGCGAGTTGGTTGGCTTAAGACAACCTATCAATCAATTTCTAGCTAGCTGACTCTATTTCTGCTATTTTTTAACCTCAACTCTACTACCTAGTAAATACCCTAAGGCAGTTTAAAAAAAGAAAAGAATGATTTAGAACGAAAGATAGTTGTCACAAAAAGATCTTGCTCTAATAGGACAACTATAACTCCGTATGTTTTCGTTGACAATAGGATAAAGAAATAACCGCACTGCTTTCCACAGCCGAATTGTACCTGAATTGCATGTTCCAAATTTCTGCCGATCCAGCCAGTAGTGCAAACCACTTGATCCAGCCGCCCTGCGCAAAAGTCGATGTATTGGCCAAGGTATGGCCAGCCCGAGACGACACGTAATAATTTCGCGCTACATAGCGTAGGCGTATGAGTGAGCAGACGATGAAGGACCGCGGGAATCATCAATGGAAGTGTACATATTTCAACTCCTCGTCGAGTAAGAATTCGCGGAGTGGCATGGCCCGGGTTCGAACCTTGCAAAGGTTGACAGAGTAGCGGAGCCTCGAGCGCCGCGACCAAGTGGAAAACGGCGAGTATCCTTGAACTAACTCGACGTGGTTGCACTCCTCTCTGTCGTCTTCGGTCAGGTCGACCAGGACTTTCTTGTCGGCCGGAATAGCAGCCACAAAGGTGGCAAAGCCTTCAGCACCGCCGAACTCGTATGGGAGCTGGCGGACGCGATTGATGCCCCTGTTGGCGAAGTAGTCTGGCGTGGCATCGCTGAAGCGTGACATCAAGTCGCCCAGAGAATTGTGGGTGAGTTCCAATGGCGGCAGTCCCGGCGTGAAGTTGAGCTGAGCCGCTGCGGTCGGGAGCAGGGTCAAGGCGAAGAGGAGGATACAAGTGTGTAAAAGAAGATGCTTGGTGAGCTCACCGGCAACGGTGGTGAGGCGTTGGGCAGCGTACCCAACTCGTGTCCGGCCCGGATCCCTGGGCGTAAGGAAGTGAGAAACCATGCATTTGGGCTCGTCGGTGGCGTCCGAGTTCCGTGAATATTGGTGCCCACTAGACTGTTCCAGCCAGCGCTTCGCTTCAATCCTCTGGCAGTCGTTCCAACTGATGGTGTCTCAGTCACGTTAGTCTGAGGGGCCGGTGCGCTTACCAGGCGCCTGGGCTATGCACCCCTCTTCTACGTTGGCCGGTCTGTCCTATGCATTCTGTTCAGACAGCCGCACCCCCTAGGTTGCTAGGGTTGGAGGATTTGTAGATGGTGGTTTGGGTATACCCACCATCGGCCACATGGAGGTGAGGGATGAGAGGTGAGAGGTGAGAGGGGCGAGATGGGAGTTTAGCTTGATGAGTCGGAGTTTGCTCCTCTCCGACGATTCGTCGTTTGAATCTGTGACAAGGGTTCAATATAGAAGGCTTGGAGCAATAGCTCAATTCATCTAATAACAGTCTTTGGTATCAAAGGTCCTTAGTTTTCCTCAAGGCCCTAAAGGTCAAAGATGTCTTTAAATACAAGAAGTCGGTGAGGGCCTTCTGCCCTAATCCCGTGACCGTAGCCCTTGTGTAACCTTTGACATTGGGCCATTTCCGTGTAACAGGTGTATTGGGTTGGTGGGAAGGGAGAGTTGGGAAGTTGGGTGCGTGGTGCGCAGCCATTTTATGTGACGGCCCTAATTTCGTTTAGCGACTCGCTGCTATACCCCATGATATATTCATCGTATGAGTATGGCGTGGTCGTTTTCTTTTTTTTTTTTTTCGTGGCCATGTTTAGTCAGTTGATAATGTCAAGGTAGCTATATAGTACCATGTTGACGGTAGGCGCCGCGTGTCCTTGCTGCTCATGCCTACGTACAACCCAGGTACTAGACGGTTAATCAATCACATATCAATTGATGTAATTAAAAATTCTGGATTCATACAAGCGCCGTGTTATAGGCCGCCAGGGCCTCAGCGTGATCCGCACCAGCGCTCTGTAACCCTAAAAATAAAGTAGTCAAGTATCAATGATATTGATATTTCTTTACCAAGCTCCACCGCAAAGTCCTACTTTGCCTTGGTAATCAATCAATATTACTTGCTCCACTCTTTGCCCTAATCGCTCCGTCCTCCAAAAGCGGCATCCCAACGAACCGACTTCCAAAACATGAGACCACTACCTCGATAAATTCTGGAGGCACCAGATTTGCAAGCCGGTGTGCCTTGTCTCGTAAAGTCAAGTGCTTGCTTGCCAAACCGATAACTGCGGCAAGTGCCGCATCGTATGGTCGAAAGCGGCAAGCGACTGCATATGATACCTCAAAATATCCCGCCAAACGCCACAATCACGACTCATCACAAGGTCAAACGACGAATTTGTGCCGAGTTTGCCGCGCCCTACCCCTTTGAAGCACCAATCCTTTCTGTATTTGCCTAAAGCCACAGTCCATTATTGTCTGCGAATGTAGTAGCTGAACCGTAATTCTCAGCCACATAACCTATCCAGGCAGCGCCTCCACAATATCTTGACAACCACATTGTTCCATTAGTGCTTACGGGCGTTGGGTGAATACAGGTAACTAGAGATTTCTAGCCTATCGGTAAATGCTTCCTCTCGGGCTTAGCAGTACCGAAGAGGAGTCGGACAACCTAAATTTAGAAGAACTAGTAAGCGTAAAGGCAGTGCTTGGTATTCTCGTTAAAGGATAATATATTTAGAGTAGGATAGACGCAGATACGGTCTTACACTGCCCTTCTACATTGCACAGCCATGTGGTTTTTAATTGTTGTAATAGTTATATAAGTCCAGCGTACTCTCTAGGATATTGCTTTTATGGCACTGTAGCTCATCTTCCGCTCTGCACTAATTAAAATGCTCACCAAGTCACTCCTCGCGTTTGCCTCTCTCGCCATCTCGGCCTTGGCCTGCACTCCCCCTCCTGGCTCTGGCTTCGCCAAAGCTGCTCCTCCAACTAGTCTCTTCATCTACAACGTTGGCACTGGTGCCATTACCCCCTCGACCGCCGCCTTGGTCAATAAGTCTACGAACAACGGAGGCCAGGATAGGACCACCCTCATGACCTTTAATGACCCCAGTGGTGGTACATCAAACAATTGCATGATCTTCTTTGATCCCAACGATCCAAGCCTGACGGCTTCCGGCAGCAGGAAGCTTGACCTTTTCTCAAGCAATTCCCCTGCACCCCCTGGTGGGAGCCCGGGCTGGGGCCCTCCGGGGAACCAGCGCAATAACCAGCTTGTCCGTTGGACGGTAGCGCCAGGTTTAGTTACCACGGACGCGACGTATGGTAGTCTCACTTTTGCTTGTAATTCTTTAAATAACGCGGGGTTTGAAATCGTTGGCGTTTACGATACTGATACCGTCACCTATAAGACATTCGGGGTGTGTGTCGCCTATAATTAATCGTCGTGGCTGGGTCTTGACACTAGATTGGTTGGGAGCGGCGGTTGGGCTCGTGGATTTTCTTTGTATTTACGTCTAGACGATGAATCGGTACTGGAGTGTATCAATTCAATGTTAATTTTCAAATGGTAACTTGTATTTCACTATGCCTTGAGAACGCCGCTTTGGACTTGTTACAGCTGAGGCCCAAAAATGTGAACAAGTCAAGTGCAATGCGCATAAATGCAGGGAACTTACTACCGTGCCTGGATCGCAGGGACTTTGAATATATAGCACATCTTGGTCAAATGGTATTGTTCGCTCAAAGTTCGTCTGACTAGAAGGTTTGAGTGGCTTGCACGGTGAACGTCCTCGCCGCCCATCTAGGCTCTGGCCTACAGCACAAATCCTTTAAAAGGCACGCTCTTTTCTTTTAACACTATTTCTTTTTTCACTATGATGACTAAGATCGAAGTATTATTTCTTTTCTGCATACTCCCTCATGCATTCTCTAATATAACAGTTGGAGCCCTCTTCTATCCCGAATCCCCCATGCGACAAGTGCTTCGCTGCCAATCGTGCCACGCAAGTCGAAGTGTGGCAGCGATACACAACCATAACCGAGGCCTGGATGCATTACTGTTTGCACCTAATATTTGCATATTCACAAACTTGGGGGCTCACTTTAATCTCCCCCAAGTTCCAGTGGCTACGACTTATAACTCAGCCCAAATGGCGACTACGTGGTCACAAAGAATAACAATTGCTCAGAGGGCAATATACATCTTCTTCAAGCGGTATTAGACTATCTTTTCAATGCGTACAACTAGTATTAGCTCCAAAAAATGCCTTGTATCAATCTTAGTGTTACACGCCCGCCCAAAGTCAAAGCAGCACCGTCTCAGCGACGCATTTCATCGGAAACAGGCAGGAATCCAAGCACCCCCTTTACATACTCCCAAATCGTGACATACAGAGGCTTCTGCGCCGTATCTGGAGTCACGGTAAGCGAGTGACTCTGCTCAATGGCATACTCGGCCGGCACCTCGGGCCACACGTCGACTCCGTCCAGCAGCGCGATGGACATGCCGCCCATGGCGTGCAGCTCAAAATGACAATGGAACAGCCAGGGCCCCGGGTTGTCGACCTGGTAGCGAAAGACGCTCCAGTACCCGCCGGCCGGGACGGGGGAGAACATTGTCATCCAGGTATCCCTGTATCCCGGGTCTTTGAGGTTGAAGCTCTCGGGCTCGGCGGCGATGGCTTCGGCAACACTGCTGTAGTTCCACATGCCGGCGCCGTTGCCGATCCTCCACGTCTTGCTGCCGTGCTTGTGCATGATGTGCTCGAACGCCATGCCGTCGCCGGGCAGCACGGCCACCTGGAGAATCAAGTCCACCCAGGAGCCGTTCTTGGTGCGCACGACGAGGTTGTCGTCTTCGGTTCCTAGCGTCTGGTTCGGATAGAAGAGCAGCGGGCGGTCGGCCTTGAAGTCCATAGGGTACAAGTACTTTGTGTTCATGGTGTATAGATGCGGCGCTCCGGCCCGGCCCATGACGAGAAGAAACTCCTCGTCGGCCGTGGCGGCTGGAGCATTCGCAGGCCATGGCGGCATATTGTCCGAGCTGATGTTATATGGCGTGTAGCTTTGCGTCGCGGTGTCCTCGCGCGCATTCAGACCCCCGTACGTGACGTATGGGCGGGTATCTGGCAGGACCTCTTCTGCACCTTTGTACACCATGTTGGCAAAGCCCGAGATGACTTGAGTTGCCCCAGAGTCTGGCAGTCGAATGGTGTAGCTGCCGGGGGGCTTGTCCAACTTGACCAGCACAGAGTAGCGCTCACCGGCCGTAATGGCCGCCGCCACAATCTGTCTAGGCTCGACGTAGTTGCCGTCGATTTCGTAAATCCACATGGGGTGCTCGTCGATGGAGAAGTCGACTTGCTTATTCGCCGCCGCCGCGATAAAGTTCATGCTGACCCAGCCGTCTGCCGCGTCGACTTGGACTGTATAGTTTGACCCTTGGGAAGGAACGCAACCCCATTGCATGTGATCTGGTATTTTCTCGGGGTGGCTTTCGTTGACCCAGGGACCCTGAATGCCCTCGGCTTGTATAGGGAAACATCTGTACGCCACCAAGTTTGTCAGCGGCCATGGACTGGTGTGGTGTCTCTATAGTTGACTGGAGACGTACCCCTTATCTGTTACGTTGTAGTCTGGAAAAGTAAACTTTTGTGGCATCGGCTGTGTTTGACTTATGAGGAATTCGTGAGGCGGGCAGTACAGCTCCCCGTGGCCATTCAATAAAATACTATCAACGCAGCTAAGGGGAGGTGGTATCGCATCAGCACAAGACTATGATATTGGATCAAAAGTAAACTCACAAAACTAATATCTTTGACTCTTCAATCACTCTCCAGTACTCGTCAGATGTGAGACGGCTCCAGTCCGACAACACCATTAGCTGTGGATTAGCCGCTGCCTTGTCCATTGCCTCGATATCCTCTGGGTCCTGGCTAATCTTGGACCATAATTCTTTCATGTTTTGCTTTGGTCTTGCCATCATTCATTAGCGACCGTCAGTATGCAAGTCTAAGAGCAGCTTGCTTACTTTATGAACATGGCACCATGAAGGCCGTCAACCAGAGACATGCGCTCGTGAGAATGGTACCAATGGGTTCCGGCCGGCGAAGCTTTGAACTTGTACACAAATGACTCTCCTGGCAAGATGGGCTTCTGTGACAGACCCATGACGCCGTCAGCCCACGGTGTGCCTTCTTGACTATGGTAAAATCACATGTTAGGTGCTCAGGCTTCGCTGTAGCCA